TTAAGGAATAAGAAGAATATGTATATGGAATATATATATTATCGTATGTATATATATGTGTATGTATATATATATAATATATATATATATATTATGGAAATTAATTTTCCTTTAGAAAGAGAAGCGTATATTGTCGTTTCTTTTGTTTCTCAGTGTACTACGATTCTCGAGTCAGTCTGTATACATATATACATGAAAAATAGTAATAGTATGGTGAAGTATGATGGGGGTAAAAAGGGGGAAGGGGGGGTGAGAGAGAAGAAGAAGAAGAAGAAAAAAAAAAAAAGAAAATGGTCTTACCTGATTCTCAGCCGAGTGGTGCTCGCCAAAACCGTGGATCTGAATCAGTGGAAGCGGTTTCTCTCTCGCGTTCTCTCTCTATCGATCGACACTCATCAACTCTACTCTGCCTATGGGAATTAATATGCGTCTAAATCGTCTCTTTCTGCTTCTCTTCTCTTCGACTCTCTTTTTTTCTTTTCTTTTGTTTGTGAATGCAAAATTTCTCTCTCTCTCTCTCTCTCACTCTCTCGCTTTCTCTCGCTCGCTCGTTCCATATCTCTCTATCTCTATCTCTCTGTATTTCCTTTCCATCATCTTCGTCTTCGTCTCTGTTCTTTTCAAAAAACGTTTTGAATCGTGAAGGGAGGTGGAGATGGTGGAGGAGGTGGAGGGGCGGGAGGGAGGTTTCAGATAGAGATCGGATTAAGGCACTCGGGTCTCTGTTGAATAATCGATGAATCGGGCGAAACGAGGGGAAAGGATATTAGCCGATTGCACGGAGAAAGTGCAATCTGTTGCGCCGAAAATTCGCGCCCGTCTTCTCTCCGTCATTTTCCTTTGTCTTCTTTCTTTCCTTTCAATGCATTACGTTTATTAAATCGAGAGCACTGAGATTCTGGGATAAAAAAACCGGATATTCCTTGACACGATCGAGTTGTGATCGACACTCGCGGGCAGCCGGATCGAATATCTGGCGGAAGCTCCTCTCCGGGGTCATGCGAGTATTTGGGAAGAAGTTTCGTCGCTCATTGCTCATTGCGATGTCTCGATGCAAGGCTGTATCGATTCGAATGGTATCGACGATTCGAAATGAATTTAACGGATATTCGTACGTATTAGGCGATTATTAGGTCGTTTTTAAACTTACCTTGCACTAATTATCCAGCCAATATAGTTATTTTTGTTAAATCAATATTTTTTACAATAAGTTTCTTTTAATAGATGCCAATGAAAACGTGTAAGAAACAGATATTATTACGAAAAATGACGATTCGTATCAGAATATTTAATCTTTCAAATTCACGAATTAAAATTCATAGTTTCAAAATTTTCCATTCGATCCCATTCGATAATCCTCTTATTTTCCCCGACACTCGCACGATCCCGGTCCAAATCACGAAATGATATGTTGCGCGAGTCGATATGTATTTAATCCGTGCCCAACGCAGCTGAAGAATCGAAAGCGAGCATCCAGACGCCCGAGGAAAACGCACAAATGTCTACCGAATTGGTCCGTTACGTTATGACGAGGGGAAAATTCGCGTTACTTTGGCTTTCCGCTGCTCGAAACACACACACACTCTCTCTCTCTCTCTTTCTTTGCCCCCTTTTCAGGGCACGAGTTATCACACGTGAGAAATCACAGCGCGACGTATAGGTATAAAACGAACTACGTTTCTAAGGTTCGCGTTAAACTAACACTCGACGACGACGATATGTACACATCGATCCCACTTTCGAAAAAAAGGATCGTTGAATTTTTTTTTCTTTCTTTTTTCTTTCTTTTTTTTTTTTTTTAATTCTAAGGTCGATTCGAAGGCAAGATATATATTTCACGCGTCTTTTCACGCGGTTTAATTCGGGTTTTTTTCCGATCGAAAAGTCGGAAAGATCCTTTCTCCGTGCTCGGTTGCTTCCGTATGCTCGAGCGAACAGCGATCCATTTTTCTTTAACCATCATCGGCGAATATTCTTTTTTTTTTTTTTTCTTTATATTTATGATAAACCGAGATTTCACAAATTAAGAAATTAAGATGTTCGTTTACCCGGGCATACGAATCGAAAGGGACAGGATGGAAGACGGTAACATTTATCCGAAATCGGCGCCGAAACGAAACCAACTTGCTCGCGAGATTAACCCTTTGCGCACGGCCCAACTTTCTCCGATTTATCGACAATTAACAAGCTCGTCCTTCGGATATTCTTGGTCAAAGATAAACTTTGATAGTTTGGGAGGCTCCCGATCGAGATCCCTCTCATCAACTGCAAAGGGTTTAAAAAAAAGAAGGGAAAAAGTTGACGCGAAAAGGAAAAAGTCGGCGCGCCTCTGTGTTCTCGTTTGCAAGATGAGAAATCACTTGGGGAGGGGGAAAAGAAGGAACGAGAGAGGTGGACGATCCCCTTGTCGCGCAAGGGCATCGCTTAGGGATCGTCTGGAGCAAGATGGGCCCGCTGGATTACATATTTGACGAGAAGAAAAAAAAAAAAAAAAAAAAAATTAAAAAAAAAACTGTGTACATATCGAATTTATTAAACTCTTACTCTTACTTGCTGGTTAGAGTGCGCCAGGAATGGTCTAACTAAGTATGCATGCGCTACAACACATCCGCTGGCTATCTTGAACCGCTTAAGAAGCAACATAGAGCGACAGAAAAAGGAAGTAACGGTTAAAAGTTTCTATCGTCTACGCGCGTGACGCGCACGCGCAAACGCATACCGGAGGAGGATGGCACGCCGCTCTCCGGCACGACGGGAAACTTCTTTCTTTCCTCGTTTGAGAGAAGACGAAATTTGATCATCGAACGAAATTGTTCGATAAAATAACCTTTTTTACTTATTATTAATTATATATAATAATGCCGCGATCGTTTCCTCGCGATCGTTCCATTAACTCGGTCGTTCGAGTGACGAGCATCGATTGAATTTGCGTTAGAGATGCGAGCGAGGCTTTACCTCGTTGATGGCCGTTGGCAAATTGTGAAACGGTCGAGAAATAGCGTTAGCGAGGGAAGGCCTCGATACGCGATACAAGGTAGGAAGCTAGGAAGAACTACGGTAACGAGTAAAAGGCACGCAACGCTCGTGTTCCGGCCAACCAGAGAGCAGCGTAAAACGAGTGCCTACCGGGGTTAACGAGGCTAATTACGGCTTAATATTAATTAGCCAATTAGCGATGCGCCCGCGGTACTGTGCCTCCGGCACCGATGATTGCGCCAACCTTCGACGCTACCGACCGAATGGGGAATTCAATAAGAAAAAAAAAAAAAAAAAAAAAAAGTAAAAATAAAATAAAATAAATAAATAAATAAATATAAATACAAATATTAAAAATAAATCGTCTACGAAAAAGAAGAGAAAAACAATAGAAAATAACGAAAAAAAAAAGAAAAAAAAAAACAAAAAACCATCAGAATCGGATGGCAATTAAATAAATACTCTGATTAGATACTCTAAACTTGAGATTCAAATGAGTTATACAGAGAGAGAGACGTAAACAATAATACATACGTGAGTGAGTAAGTAAAGTAAAAAAAAAAAAATTATACAGCTCTCAAAACAAAAGAAAGAAAAAAAATAATAAATAAGTAAGGTTACTCAGGATGCGAATACATGTGCGAGTAAAATCAATCGATCAATTTCACTCTCTTTCTCTCTCTTTCTTTCTCTTCTCTCTCTCTCTCTCTCTCTCTCTCTGTGGACGCTCTCGAGAGAATTTTATTCCCACATGTATTCCCATTTTTATGGCGAAATGAATAAAACGATATATAATTAGCCGCGATTAATACAGATTACGATCGAAAGGTTTCTATTACGGAGAGAGGAGGGGGGGGGAAAAAAAAAGAAAAAAAAAGAGGAGGGAGAGGAGAAACAACGAAGGAGGAAAAGGGTATCGTACACACAATACAGGTTAGCTACAAGTTTGAAACGAACTACTTTATTGGCAACTCATCTAGGCATCGAACTAAACTAATTAATCCGTCGTTCTTGGCGTTCTTCGCGTTCGCCGCCCTGCGTACTCTTGCTGTATCGTGCCGTGTCTCGATCCCTTCACGGTTTGGAATCGTCGATCTATTATAATCGCACGTGTGTGTGTGTATATATATATATATATTGTATATATTTTGTGTCTCGTCCTTTTATCACTGCGGGGAACGCTCGAGTCTCATTGAACGGTCGGTTCCGCGTTTATGGCACAATAAAATCAAACGAAAATCAAATAAAATAATGATGACAATATAAGTGTAAAAGATCGTCGTCCGTCCAACAGCTTTGGCTTTGAACAAGCATCGGCATATCATCATCGTTATTACATACATTTTTAATAGAAGTTAACTGTCCACTTAACGACAACAGCATCGACACCATTATTCCGTATTGTTTCGATCTAAACAATAGTATCGTTTTATCGATTATAAAAAAATGATTGCTCGCATCGTGATAAAGATTATTTTTATTCTACATAATTCCAATATTCAGTTATTACATCTTACAATCATGATCTTACGAATACTGTTCGTAATCATCATTGCTTCTACATCCTATGGATATATTTATATTAATTTCTCATATTCTATATATTATATATTTATATATATATATATTTTTATTAATAAATTGTGTTATTAACCATGATGGTTTTTTCATGTTATTTTTCTTGTTCTACCTTATTAAAGATACAATCGAATAATCAAGCATTGTCTACCATTTGTCGAATTATAGAAATTCTATTGTACTACGAAATAATATATATATATATGATATTTTGATATCATATTAGTTGCTATGCTGTCTCGTGCTGTTACTATTTCTAGCAAAAAGTTCCGTACGTGGATACGAAATTCATTGAAAATACTTGACTGTAATAATCTTTAAAATATGTAATACATGTATACATATAAAGCACATGTCGCTGTTAAATCAATGTGATATAAAGTAAATACGAAAAGAAGAAAAAAATAAAATAAAATAAAATAGTAGTTGGAAATAAGTAATTTAATAGGCAGATATTCTACCTAAAAAAAAAAAAAAAAAAAAAAAAAAAAGAAATAAATTGTTACTTTCATAAAGAAATAAACATCTTTTTTTAAATATTTATAATTATCTAATATTTCCATTTTCTCATATATATAATTATTTTATATACAACTCCTATTTTGCTTTTTCATAATTAAACATAAAACTAATTTATTATTCAATTTATTTTCTTCGTATATGCTTAATACCATATTGACTTAACATTTTCGTGAATTTTATTTCACTATTATTTATAAAAACTTAATATTTTTTTTTTTTAAAAGAATTTCGTGTTACTTCATTCGAGCGAAAACTTTTTATCAAAAGTAATAAATAATCGATAATTATGATTATGCCGATGCTGTTTCAGTACATTGTGTTGTTAAAAGAAAGACGATCTTTATTGCAAGGACAATAATAAGACGAAAACGGGGGATGAAAAGTAAAACTGAGGATAGGAAAAAGAAAGGAGACGAAGATTGGCAATGAGATTTCTTAAGCGATTACCAATGAATCTTCAGTTCCTTTTAAATCTTATAATGCGATGGAAATAATCCCTGCGAGCGAACGATTCATTGGTAATTACGATTACACTGTAAGTTCGCAGAGAAAAAGGTCAAATGACGACTAATAACATGATGATACGCAATATAGCAATAGTGATCGCAATCGTACTTGAAGGGATGACGATGCCGGTGGGTAAAAAATAATGATAACAATGATGAAATAGCGATAATGGCGGTAATAATAATAACAATGATGATGACAATATTAATATTCATAATAACTAGTTAATGATAAGTCAATAATAATAATAATAATGATGATGATAATGATGATGATGATGATGATGATGATGATGATGATGATGATAATAATAATAACAATTATAATAATAATAATAATAATAATAATAGCAGTAGTAGTAGTAGTAATAGTAGTAGTAGTAGTGGTAGTGGTAGTAGTAGTAGTAGTAGTAATAGTAGTAGTAGTAGTAATAGTAATAATAGTAGTAATAGTAGTAATAGTAATAATAGTAGTAATAGTAATAATAGTAGTAATAGTAGTAGTAGTAGTAGTAGTAGTAGTAGTAGTAGTAGTAATAGTAGTAGTAGTAGTAGTAATAGTAATAATAATAGTAATAATAGTAATAATAATAATAGTAATAATAATAATAATGGTGATAATAATAATAATGATAATGATAATGATAATAATGATGATGATGATGATGATGATGATGATGATGATAATAATAATAGTAGTAGTAATAATAATAATAATAGTAATAATAGTAATAATAATAATAATAATAATAATAATAATAATAATAATAACAATAAGGTAATGCGGAATATAATTTTTCTGTAAAAGGGAAGAGGTGTATGTATCGGATGAAGGTGAATTTGGAAAAGGAATATGTCTTCGTCTCTTTTCGTTTTATCTTTCAATTATCGCTTCATTTTCGTCGCTTTAGTCGAAAAAAAGTGGCGAAAACCGTTTGTTCCGTGACCAGAACGGCAGTACGAGGCTTTATCTTTTATTTTTCGAGGAACAGTCGCTTTGAAAGAAAAAGACACTAATATTAATATTAATAGGAATGAGTTCATTAAAAAAAAAAATTCGCGATTAAATTTCGCGTTAAAATCAACCGATCCTCTGAAAAATTCATCTTTAATCCATTTAATGCTGCTCTGTCGACCGAAAATAAATTAATCTCGTCATGAATTCGATGTAGAGATCAGCCATGATATACGGAAAAAAAAAAGGAAAAAAAATAATAACAACTGGATTAAAAAAGGAATAATATAAGGACAATATAAAATTACCAGTAATAATTATACATTCAATCGTTGTATCTTACGCAAATATACATTTAAATCGATAATATTACATTTGGAGGGAGAAAAAAAAAAGCAGTGAAACAATATACTGCGCGCGCACGCGCGCAAAAATGCAATAGAAAAAAAAAGTTGAAAGAAATTTAAAGAACGAACGGTAAAAGGAAAAAAAATGTGGATAAAGAAATGTCCGATCGAATATTGATTTCGATGAGACACGGTCGCGATTTAATTGTCTGCAAGAAGGCAGAGCAGCGAGAAATATTATTCTTAAAACATGTACAATGAAACGACGAGGGCGGTGAAGGAACAACGGGATTCGGATTCTAAAGATAAATTTCAACCAGCATGCTTCTCACCTACTGATCATTCGCAACTAATGGATGGTTAGCGATCATTAAAATACTAACTACGCTAAGAATTACTCTCGACATTCGCAATAAGTACTTTTTACGTGTGTACGTGTGTTTATGTATGAGCGTGTGCGTGTAGCGTATATAAAATACATAATCACCGGCAGATGAAAAGGGGAGGAGAGGGGATAGAGAATGGGAAAAATTCAGGAAAAATAAGGATATGTTCGTAGAGTAGGAACAAAAAAAAGATCGTGGTCTCGTATCGGTAGAGTAGAGTAGGAAGAGATCCAACGTCGTCGCGTTCTCGAGCAAAACGATCTACATTTTTCACGCGAGATCGCGCGAGAGCGGAATCCTACCTTCCTTTCTATCGACATTTTTGTGAACATATTTCAAGTGAAAGGAAGGAAAAGAAAAGTGAAATAAGAAGAAGAAAAATTACACGAGAGGGAAAAATAGGGGAGGGAAAAAACGAATAAAAATGGATCGATATTTTCAGAATGTTTTGATCGACTTTACTGAGAGATGGGGAAGGAGGGAGATGGAAAAAAAAAGGAAAAGCGAAAGACGAAGAAGAATTGGATATGAAAGAGAAATGGGTGAAGGAAGAACAAAAAAAATGATGGATCGATGTTTTGCAATATATGATCAACCGCAAAGGGAAATGGAGGATAGAAGAGAGAAAGAAGGTGGAAAAAGAAGAGGAAAAGAAAAAATGGAAGCTGCGGGTTACAGGGTACACCGATATCGGGTTGTCTTCGAGGTCAGCATTAAGTACGCACCCATGTTCTATCTCGATACTGCGTACCGTCCCGTAATACGCAGACCGTGGAAAATAGAATTCGGTTGCACCGTGGTCTCTAATCAAATCATTGCCTCTTGCTTGGTTTCGCTAGAGTATATGCGCGCGCACGCGCGCGCGCATGCGTGCGCGTGCTTATTTCGCGGTTTATCTCTTTTAAGGCGTGCTTCGTTTTTCTCACACTCTCTTTTACACACACTCGCTTGCTCTTTTGCATCCTCTTTCTCTCTCTTTCTCTCACGCTCTTTCGCTCTTTCTCTCTCGCTCTCTCAAATTTCTTTTTTTTTTCTCTTCTTAATCATCTAAGTACCTTCTTATAAGTCATAAATATCACTCGCGAGCTTTGTCGTCGTCATTAATTATTACGGTACATATTAAGTATATGTTTAAAGTTATATCACTAAAGAATATTACTTGTCGTTTGCAAGAGGATAAACACCTCGAATTTCTTCCGCTCCATTTTCACGCTTTCCTTTCTACACAACCGGTTCTTGTTCTCTATCCTCGTTTGGAGCGGAATTCTCTTCCCCTTAATTATTTTCTTTACGCATACAGATTATCGTCTCTTTTTCTCGTTTTTTTTCTTCTTTTTTTTTTGTCTTTTTTTTCTTTTTAACTCTTTTCTCGCATAATCGCGCTTACCGTATCTCCTTAAACTTAAACAGTACACAGCTTAAAGTTTCAGTAAATCGCTTATTGCTCGACGTTTCTCACATTTGTTTCGGGACACCGTGTTCCTCTCGTCAATGACGACTCTCCCTCTTTCTTTCTTCTTTATTGTATCGAATCGCTGTGTTTGCAACGCACAAGGCCGTCGATCTTCCTCTCGACCGTTCGAAATTCTCGTCGATCGTACGTTTCATAAATAAATAAAAGAGAGTCATCGATTTGCGCTTTTTTTTTAGATCTGAAATTTTTTCACGCCTATCGCGATCGATTCTTTGCGTTCCCGTCGTTCGAGATCCAACCAATGTTATTCCCTTATCGGGAAGAAAAGAAAAGCGAAAGAAGAAATTGGAATTCTGGTGAAAGTAATATAGGAAAGGAGAGGAAAAA